GTTCAATTATAGTTGAAGGAATTATAGGATGCACAAAAGTAACATTGCGAATTCGTGTGAAAAGATGCGCAGATGTGTACGCAATGCGGAGAGAACGACATCGTGTATATGATATCACGTGACGAAAATTGGATCAAGGTTTTGTGTCGTACAATGTGTAATATTACACCGCGATATATCTTTCTTAATTATAACATATAAACAATTTCACGTGATCACGACATTCTCTCTAAGAATTTTTTTAGTATTTAATTTAAAATATACATGTATGCACATTTTTTTTATTTATATATCTGACATTCCAATCTTTTATCTTTAGGAGTCTGATAATAATGATTACATTACATTATGTAATTGTATTATTTGATTATTAGTTTTGAAATGCGCAATTTCTTTATGTCTGAGTCAAAATTAATTTATACTTCGTGATAAGCAATAATCCTTTCGTGCAAGATAATTCGTGACTGGCAAAAGAAGAATGCGAATTGCGTTATCAAATTGTTCGATCGTTCATGATAAACACAAGAATGTTAAGCGCAGGTAAGCATCCGACATTTTCACGAGATGATCTTTAAGGATACTTCGAGCACGTTTAAAAGCTATTCCTTGAGAAAGCATTGCTCTTTCTTGGAAGGTCTAACGGATAGTTGCAATTTTTAAAGCGCAAAAATAGAATCTGCATTTCTCATTCACTAAAAGAAATATATATATATATATATATATATATTTATTTATTTATTTAATATATCTAACAAAAGGTAATGCATTTTATTTCTCAGCTAAATATTTTATGAGAATTTTTTCAAGAGACAAATCTCATATATCGATATGATATTTGTACAAATAGCCTACAGTATTAAAATTTTTCGGAGTAATTTCACACATACGCAATGCAAGAAACAATTTTGTAACTTAATAAATGCATAGAAATATCATTAATTATTTATATAAAATTATGCACACGAAAAAAATTAACCACTATAGCTGAATTTGAACTGTCTCTATATTACATCTGAAATTTAGTTTAGCTATGATAGTTAATATTTTTTATAGTTATATTAAACGGAGAATTTGATAGCTAAAAATATTAGTTTACATAGCTAAAATTTAGACATACCTAAATTTCAGATTGTAATATAGGAGCAGCTAAAATGTAGCTATGGTAGCTAATTCTTGTTTACGGTGAATATTTATAAATAAAGCACATTAATCTTCTTAGTGAAAGATTAGAGAAAAAATGTCGACGCGGAAGAGTTATGCCTCGAAGGCAATTACATTAAAAAGTTCATTGTACACTTCTTGGATATTATCTTCACTCTCTCTATATGTATATAAATAACATTTCTCATACAATACACTAAAGATCTATTATTACTATCATTAAAGAACTCATCGAGACGACGATTTTCCCTTGTTATTGAAGAAAAAAATTATATAAAAATCGCAAAATATCTTCGCGGTTTAATAGTTAAATTACAGGTAATCAAATAAAATCATTAACCACGTAAAAACGTATTAATATTTTCTACGCGCTTTTTGATGCCGCAACATTTTCAAGTACTTATATGTTCGACTTCCTTGTTTCTTCGACCGATGAGAAAAGTGACGTCTCGAATCGATCGGAGAACGAAGGGGACAACAAATGACTGAATAGCGTAATTAAATGACAAACCTACGAGCAACTTTCTACGTCGGGTGCGACGAAAAAAATTGAATGGAGAAATCACGCGCGTTGTCAGAAAACAAGCATGAATTGTCGTGGGAAGCGAAAAAAAAGGAAACAGAAAAGAAATGTCGTATCATTCTCCTTCCGTCTCTGATGAAATTTCACCGCTTAACGCTGTCGAGGAAAAGGCGACGTATATGCAAAATATAATAAGAAAAGTGGAGCGGCTAAAAGAGGACTTAACAATGAGATCTCGCGCGCGCTTCCACCCTCGCGAGATTGTGAGAGGATTCTCATTATTATCTTCGGTAATAACGCGGAAAACTGTGATTAGTTGTGTAAATGGGGTGGCCTCCGATAATAATATCAAACTCGATGCGAGAGAGAGTAAGAGAGAGGCGGAACGAAAAGTTTTAATCGCGATTCGATAGAGAGAATAAATTCATCCTGTTACGATATAAAGCATGAATGAATATGAATGAATAAAATATTATTTTTGCTGGATGATTTTATAAGGGAAAGAGAAAGTTAATATATTAGAAAATATATATAATTATTTTTTATTGCCTCTTTCTATTAATATTCATTGTATTCTATACAATTATTGAAATATCCGTACAAACAAGTTGAGGTATTATATCTCTTTTTATTTGTCCACTAATTGGATTTTGCGGAGGTAATTGAATAGATGATTAACGAAAGAGAATATGGTGTATACAAAAATTCGCAAAAATGAAAGCGATTAACTTAAATCATTTCTTTTGACCACAGAGGATGAATTTAATCGATATTGCGTGTCTCTATTTTTAGATTGCCTTTTCCTCTTATTTTTTCTATTATTACCGCTTCCGGATTATTTTCAAATAGATCGCGTCATTAAATGCGCATTTGTTATAAAGAAATGTATATATATTGTATATACAGTGAAATTATACAGTCGCGATTATCCCACGAAATAAATACAGAAAAAAATCATTAAAAATTACACAAGAAGAAGAACAATAACACATAATTCATACAAATCAAATATCACATCTTTTCTTATTATATGTATATATATTTTTCAACATTATTAGTCTTATTTTTTCATAATTTTAGAGTTTTAATTATAATAGAAAAATATACTTCCTCTCTTACATCAATGAAATTTAATAAATAGACGTATATTGTGAGAAGAAAAGAGACGGACGAAAGGTTCAATGATGAATGATAGAGATAGGGAGAAAGGGAGATACTTTCGCGTACCAATTACTAAATAGACTGGTACATCTTAGGTACCGTTCTCTCCCGTATTCGTCGATAGTCACAAAAACGTCTGACCTGGCTGCGCATAAATATCGACTCCTTCCGCGGAACCGAGATGTTCCGTAAAGGAACTGAAAGGTCGCGATTATTTATCTACTTTCAACCGCGGAGGAGAACATCAGCTCTTCCAGCCAAATCAAACATTATTCAGAAAATAGATCTGTTTGCGCACATTTCATGCAATACATATTTATGAACGAAAGCTGGTACGTCAATTTCTGACGCTTAAGACTTCAATTATTAGAATACTTACGTGCATGTTATGCAAAAAATAGAATATATTCATATTGATGAACATTCCCTTTTTTTCTTAACAATTCTTCGCGAAGAAAATAAACAGGGTGTCCAGCAGACTCAATGAGAAAAATTCCCTGACTTTTTCAGATTTTCCAAGACCAGAAATTTATTTTTTTCTTGACTTTTTAGTATTATTTTTTCCCAATATATAATTTGCATATATTTATTTGATAAATTAATTAAATGTTAAATCATGAAATCTTTGAGATATTTTTGTCAACAATGAAAAGGTTAGGAAGTTCAAACAAAAATTTAAATCAATTATACAAACTGCATTATGTACGATAATCGAAACAAACATGTCACTATAAACTATTTAAATAATCACCTTTTTTATTTTTTAGTTTTGTCTCTATCAAACACATTGAAATAAAATAACACGACGATGAAAATATAAATTAACGAACACGCTGTAGATGATTTTTAACAACACAGAAAATTACCGTGCTGGGAGTCGAGGAAAAGTTTATATTTATTTAATAAAAAATTTTAAATGTGAAAAAATCCAGATAAATAGTAAAATTTCCTGACTTTTCACTGACAATTCCAGATTTATAAAATTCCCTCACAATGCCCAGTTTTCCAGATTGCCCTGACCACTAGACACCCTGGTTATGCAAAAAAACAGAATATATTGAGTGATGAATATTCCCTTTTTTTAAACAATTCTTTGCGAAAAAAATAAATCACGCGCGTGGCACAAATCAAATTTTACCGTATTAAACGTCATTTTACAGCGAACAATGCGATCGTTCGGTAATCAGATGTTGTCTCTCACGGTATCTGGAGCATGTAAATGAAAATAAAATCGCGGCATTATTTCTCCGTGTGTTTCAAGAATAGATAGAGAAATGATACGCGCGGTAATCAGTGACACGCAAGATATATCTTGGTCGCGACACTTGCACCTGCATTGCGAAAAAAAACCCGCGAGTGCGTCACATTTCGCTCGTGCGGGAAAATCGTGTCGAGCTGTTCCCTTTTTTTTTTCTTTCCCTCGTTTACGAAAGAGAACCCACGAAATCTCTCACACGCGATCAGTCAGTTGCGCGAGTTATAATGATCGCGGTACACACGATTTCCACACCTGACCATATATACACAATGCACACACATACCCGGTGATAATTCTCCACTTTTCCATCTCGTTTAGCAGAATGTAAGTATTGTATCTCTTTGCGTTTCTGTGCACTCTCCACGCATCGTGAAATTGCAAACGATTGCGCCTTGCAGCACGTCGGGTCGACGGTTTTCGATTAAGCGACTTTGATTACATTTGATTTATTCCGCTTATTGCATTAGCATTTGCGATCTCTGTATGAATATACGCGATTGATGGATCTTACTTCCTTCATTTCCGCTTTTCCCGTTGCGGTATTTCTTCAATTCCTATGTTATTACATTTTAATTGCTATGATAATACAGTGCAATTAGATATAGTAATTGCGTAAGCAAATAACAAATAACGCAATTACGCGAATGTCGATATTACTTCGATGATAAAAAAAATTAAATTTTTAACATCGAAAGTGCACATAAACTCGCGGGCTTTTATTAAAGGGTTAAAAGGATTACTCTTAATTCGCACATAAATCAAATGACTGCGAATTGTATTTCCAGGCCTCTCTGCTTCGTTCGATTTACGTACTATATTCTGCACACATTTATAAGTACTATCTACATAAAAAAAAATCTACAAGCATCGATAAGGAAAAATAAAAATTGGACTTACTGAAGTAGTTAAGAGTCTCTCGGATCTGGTCCGGCGATAATTTCAAGTCGACGTCCTCCGATCTGAGGGCAGGCGACGGAATAAACCAATCTGCGTTCTCGTAGCCTGCAAAAATCACGCATACATGTTACTTTGAAAAATCTCACCGCATAGTATATCGCAATCAGTCTAATCTAAATTGCGCGGAGAATTGATGCACTGAAACAAAATTTGTTAACTTGCCTAAATCTTTCAACTAAATTATTATTTTTGTTAAATCAACATATATTAGTATTTAAGTCAAATATACGTTTTGTTCAATTTAATGTTATATTTAATTTAAATATTTTTGTAGGTTCAATTAACAAAATAATATTTATTGAAAGGTTTAGTCAAGTCAACAATTTTTTCAGCACTAAAAAAAATGACTAAATTAATACATATTTAATTAAATACTGCCAAATGAATCATTTATTTGAAACAAATAAATATTTATTTGTTTTGATAAAGAATTTTCTCATATCAAATATTTTTCACGTCAAATAAATATTACTAGTTTGAAATAAATGATTCATTTGGCAGTATTGAAATAAATACTTTTTCGAATTAAATAAATTTTTTGTTCAGTGTGCGTTCCGAGTTCACGCGCAACAATCTAGTTTACCCATCAGCTGCAACGGAGAGATTGCAAAAATGTGTTAAGCGCCTCGGTCTGCATATTATGATAGAACACCAAGTTGTATACACGAGGGCAATGTATTAGCGTGCTAATTAATGCGATAATCATATCCGTTCTGAAGACGAATAACAAAAAAAAACGCACATTGCTCGCGTGTTACGATTTGCGCGAGGCGAGCTAAATGTACTGTAGCTAATTAGTAAATATATGCGTGCATTAGGCGCGGCCCTGGAAGGAGGCGCGCCTTTTAAAGCTTCGTTTTATTGACCGAACACACGATACGGGGCCACAGCTCAAATTAATGATTAATCAATCGGCACAAACTGTCTTTAATCTAACGCGTTCGTGGAACACGATGCAAAAGCAATAATACAGAGAGAATTTTCTCTTAGAATTTACCCTGAAAAGCATGGTAATCATGGAACAAAATGATATTGGAAGAATTTTAATTAAGAAATTTAATTGAAAATTATTAATATCCACAATAAGATATAAAATATTTTTAATTAATTTTACTATACATATTAATATGTTTTATGGTAAATATTAATCTGATATTTTTATAAAATTCTTCCACGATTATCATGATTTTCAGAATAAATTCTAAGAGAAAATTATTTCACCATATTTTTATGTACGTAATTTTTCTTGCTTTTGGCGCAGATTATATTTTGTAATTTTACAAAGTTAACACGCGCTTGATAAAACTCTTATTTGTAGTATACGAAACCCTAAAGTTCCGCACAATGAAGCATTTGTCCTATAAGTATGGTCACCTTCGTAACAGGCTTCCTCGTTTAATTAGGCCGCACATTTCCTCGACATTCGATCGGGTGCACGAGTTGCACCCTCTAACATGATACGGTTTTCTTCGTTCATTTAGATTTTTAATATCGTGTATCCTTTCAAACATGCGTCATCACATTATAGAAACGTATATAATTATCGATAAAATGATATCACAGGAGATGTTTTTCTCCTTGCAAGAATAACATTTATACAAAACGGTTATATATATATATTTTCTTCATCAATTTAATCGATCAGCTGATCACTATCGACATATTTATTGCAGTTATCTTTTATTGCTATATGGATAAATTATTTCACGTAATATGAATAGAACGCAATAATAATATTTAAAATGTAGATCACCACGGAAATATATTTTCACATAAAACTAAATTTATTTTATGATAAAACGGATCTCTTCCGCTATTTATTATATATTAACAGCCGTATCTTTTTTTCGCAATATATATATACGCATTTCATAAAAGCTTAAAAGAGGAAAGGAAGAAACTGATAGCCAGCTCACCTTGAAACTGCGTTAAGGTGTCAGCTCGTAAACGATACCTCGGTATTTGCTCCTCCAACAGACTGATTATCTCGACTTCTGGCAGCTCTTCTCCGCTGCATACATCTGCAACAATCAAGCAGCATCCACCATGGCGTTACTAAGTGCAAAAAGGCGTTCCATTATATTTGCGCGTTACAAATTGCCGTTCCGCTTTAAATTGCGCGCATACTCGAGCGTGCATAATTACATATACGTCGTGTACGTACACAACGTCATTCCGACGTGATCCGGAACGTGCATACTTGAATTACGATGCGACGAAACGCGACGTATGTACGCGTCTTTTCGTTGCATTAGGCTAACTGCGCGACTAGAACGCGAGAAATCGCAATTGCAGATTGCAGTCTATCTGTCATCACTTGTGCGCGACTCGCGATGGTGACGATGTGATTTAATAATAGCCTTGGCGTAACAGTTTATGTCATAAGAAGCGCGAAAATAAACAGCGGAAAGAAGTAAATTACGCGATAAAACATTACATAAATATTTCGTTTTTTAATGGATAATAATATAAGATAGACGAGCACGCGAAATTTAATACACATATATAATCTGAGCATAAGTATAAATTTGGTAAAATTGCCAATTATTTTTTTGAATGCGTGTAATGACACACAAGATACATATATCGTTATCATATATGATATAAATATATTTTTTATACATAATTACACATATAAATTATATAAATAAATATTTTTTATATAAATATATAAATATATTTTTATATACATATATAATTATACATATAAATTATTAAGTTATTTCAATGTATCGTGTGTCATGTTGTTCGTCGCGTGCAGAAATCTTCTACCTGTGCTGTAAGATGAATGTAAGATGAATGTGCGTGATCTGGGTGACAAAAAGTTTCTTACGGTACAGCAGAAGGAGGAGGAATTCGCGGTTAACGTTAACCGCAAATGAGAGGAGCCCTTCGAGCAGGAGAACCAGCGCTTCGCATCAATGTGCGAAGACTGCGAGGCGCATGTAGATGCACTTTAAAGCTGACACGACCATAATATCGAAGTATGTGCAAAAAAAACTCTAACAACAGATTCTTAGAGGACTTTAAACCGGATGTCTCCTATAAGCGAAATTTCTTAATGGAATGTTGTCATGTCGCGTAACATTTTTTTATCGCGGAGAATAAATTAAAAAAAAAATAAAGAGCTGTACAAAAAATTGAAGGTATTAAGTTCCCGAAATTTAATTCAACAAAGATCATGGAATAAATATTATTAATATTTACTCCACTTAGTTTTAATTAATAATATAGGTCTTGATAATTAAGACCTGTTTAGCAGATTTTTTTTTCAAGAAAAAATACACTTTACAATTGTGATTAAAATTTGTCGTTGCAACTAGATTGCAATTATACAACGAGAGGAGCGTTCAAAGTTCTCGGAAATATAATCGACACTACTAACCTGATATTATACGGGATTCTTACAAGAGATTGTCATAGAAGTCGAGTAGCGGTAAAAAATATATCATAGTGAATTGAGAAAAATAGCGAGAGAGAAAAACGGTGCCTCCTTTTTCTCAGGAAAATACGACATAATTTATGCAGCGCCGGTGCATAATGTCGCAACTGCGCTGATACTGACTTCATCGAGAGCGGCGTAGGCCTCAACTTTGCCTGAACTTTGTACTTTCGGTACACTCGTCTCTCGTGAGAGCGAGATGACCCGTGCAACGAGTTATCGCGGTTTAACACATAATCGAGATGACTCTTTAGATTATATAGACCGTCTTGCGATTGTGTTCGAAGTCGAGCGCGAGCCACGCGCTCTTTTCACAAAAACTTCCCAGATTACTAATAAAGTTAAGTTCACGGAGTCGTTTCTCAACACCTTCGTTCGAATTGAATTATGGAAACCGGATCGTGCATGTAGGACTTTTGTGTTCGACTGATTTATTTCCCGGGAATCATACGTGGATAGAGAAAATGTCGAACAAGAATATGATGATTTAAAAATGTGCAAGTAAAATATTTCAGACTCGAGTGATGACGAACTCTTATGCGAATAGATAAAGTATTCTAAATATATAGTATGTATGTATAATTAATCGCTTTGTTGATTACGTAAGATGCTTTATATTCGCGATTTACAATTAAGCATCAGTCATAACTGGTGCGATACAATTTTACACAATAAACTGTATAATGCTCGAAAAATAATTTCTTTTGCATCAATGTTTGACAATCTATATTGTCCTTGATGTTTTATCGAAAAAGAAACGTAAAAATTGAAATATAACATGGAATATATAAATTTCATACCTATTACTTCGTCGTTCTCTTTTGTATATTTTGTGAGTAGAGACAAATAGTCATTAATTTAAGATTTTTGCGTAATACGAGATTAAATCCAACTTTCTCACTGTGCAGGAAAATAGTTGTCACGTGATAAAAATAGTTTAAATGCGGAATACGTGCTGCCACACATCGGCGATCAGAAGTAAGAAGATAAATCACCGACATACATACTGCAGAAGATAATAGATATTTCATATCGTTACCAACTGTAGATTGCATTGGTAACGTGGAATATTGGTAAAAAGAGATATAAATAAATAAAAAAAGTATAAATATAAAATAATAATTTTATACGTATATCTATATAATTATATACTATTTATATTTAACATTTTCCCACAATATTCAAATTATTAATAAATTTCAAAACAGTATAATTTTACCAGATATAAATATAATGTATTGCATTACATTTATTTTATGTTAAACGATTTTTATTATCATTTAATAATTAATTTGAATAATAATAATTTGCAATAAATCATAATTTTATTGCACTATTAATAATTAATCGTCACAAGCAATAATCTAACTATATCTAATGGATCAATTATTAAAAAAAAATTAGAATACCTTAATTTTGCATTTCTCAATTCAGTCTATAAACCCTAGCATTGTTTCAATTTGTTTCTCAATAGCATTTATGTTTTCACCCTTCCAATAGTGTGAAACGATTTAACATGTCTACGGTTGATAGCAGTTGTAATAAATCATAATTTCATTGCACTATTAATAATTAATCGTCACAAACAATAATCTAACTATATCTAATGGATCAATTATTAAAAAGAAAAATTAGAATACCTTAATTTTGCATTTCTCAATTCAGTCTATAGACCCTAGCATTGTTTCAATTTGTTTCTCAATAGCATTTATGTTTTCACCCTTCCAATAGTGTGAAACGATTTAACATGTCCACGGTTGATAGCGGAAAAATTGATAATTCTCGCACGCAAAATTTCGAATAAAGATACGAGCAAATATCCTACCATCTCGCCACTTGCTAAGCACTGCCTCACGCTTCTCGAGAATGCCTTTGAGCTTCGCCGGGCCCTTGGGCCTTCTCAACTCCTTCCCGCCTAGGTACATAATCTCACGTCCGGCACTGGCCGAATTCCCTGCCCTTCCACCGTCTTCATTAAAGCACCGTCTTATATAGCATGTGGTCGGCAAACTCGAATTTTTGCTCTCGACAGAATTCAGGAAATTCGATCCTGAAACTCACGAATTACGTAAAACTGAACTGGCGATGATCCACCGAGGCATTGATGATCAAGTTTCGCGACTTGTGCGAGCTTCCAAATTGTCCGATCGAAAATCGAGATGCCAAGAAAGACTTGCGTAATTAGCTTTCGAGACAATGACCTCCGAGATAATTTATATGAGCCGGATTGCTTAATAACCCAGAATGTTTGTGTTTTGCGAGTGTAGCAAAATATCCCGAAAGGTGTACTAATCCAAAAAATTTCTTATAAATATAAATATAATTGTTCCTCACAAAATAATCCGCAAAATTATTCGTCTTCGCGAATCATGTGGTATATCAATATAAGTCAATGTTTTTATTTTATATAATATAACGAAATAAGAGAAAGCGCCGTGTTTTAAATTGATGTTATCGACAAATAGAAACATATGATCCAGTAATCCCCCATCGAGTGTGTTTGCAATGAATCATTTATGCAAGGTAAATTCCGTTTATTAATCCTTTTATTCCGCACAGCTGCGAATAATTATGTTGTGTAAGCCGTTCATGAGAGTGTGTGTACACCTTTTATCGATGCATAGAATAATAGCGAAAATGATGGCGTAATCGACAATGTTGGTCGTGTCGCGACTATTATACATGCTCTGTACGTTTGTTAACTTCACAATGACCGAGACAGGTGTATGGCAATTTTTATTTTTGATGGTTACGCGACAACCGAAACTCCTCTCGATCTATTATTGATGGCGATTCGTTCGCGAACTCGAGAAACGAGTCGACTTCTTTTTGAGTCGACAGCCGCCGAAGAACTTCGGACGGACGTCGATGGAGGAAAATAGCAGCGACCGGTATACTTGGAGTTTAGCCAGTTTCAAGTCCCGCGATCGAGTCCATTTATCCAGAATGAACCTCATTAAAAAGTTAAATCTCCGTGCCGAAAAATAAATTTATAAATAATATATATCCATAAAACTTTTCTGCATATAATTAATCTTTAATTAATTTTTCAAGGTTTTTTTCTAATTGATATAGCCCTCTTCTCTCTTCTCTGGATTTTCTCTAATATGATCGTATACAAAAATATATTTTAAAAATAATTATTAAATGTCTCTCGATACTTGTATGCATATTAAATCACAAATAATAATTTATCAAGAGAGAAATTCAGTTCTTAAAATACGATATAGAAATGATATTTCAGATGTAACACAAGCAATCGATCAGTTTAAATCTTCACTAACGTAGTAACTCTTGACAAGGTTGCTGGCAAACAGCACGAAGTCAACCAAACCCAAAAAAAACGTACGTATAGTATGCATATGCCTGCATTATATAATAGACGAGAATAAACTAGTATATGCTTAACAGCCTGAATCTTAATTTTGCATATAAAAATTTTTCCCCGTCGCTATAATATAGCAGTTAAATCAGCATAAAATTTCGTACAAAATCTAAAAGTTTGAAAATGTCGATTAATCAAAAAATATTATAAATCGATTAATTATAATTAATTTTTAATTGCAATAATTAAATAAAAAAATTGTTTATGCTCAGATCTCTTCAAAGGTAGACAAAATTATGACAACGTCTTGGCTTAGATTTTAGAAACGTTTACGAAACTAGCCCTTTGTAGGTCGCCTATTTCAAGATCTGCGTAAAACGTGTTCTCGATATTCTGGACGCGTCGCGAAATATAATATTTATTTCAAAAATATTCCGATAATTTTAATGTAACATCGAATGCATTTTCGATGTCACAATCGATACGAACTGTATCAAAGATATATATTTGCAGATGTCTGCGATAACGAAATAATTATAACAATTATTTTCACTATGATGATTATGATGATCATGATTACGATTATGATGCTGACGACGACAAAAATTTATGATGATGATGATGATGATGATGATGATGATGATGATGATGATGATGATGATGATGATAATGATGATGATGATGATGATGATGATGATGATGACTATAACGATAATGATGATGACGATCATGATGATGAGAATGGAGCGTGGCGTATTATCCGCCGGGCAGGAGTAATCATCATTTAGCTCAGGCCAATGGAAAACACCATGAGGCTTGGAACAGGTAAGCCGTAGAGCACTCTATAAAACTCCTCGTGCTAGCACCGTCAAAGACAGTTTCTCCTCGTACGCTTACAACGTCAGATGTAGTAAATACGAAACGCATCCTGTTTGCCGAGATACTCAAACCGCGTAAAATCAACGCGCGAATTTCTTTAAAAAATATCCGTTTATAAAAAAAAGGTTTCTCAAAAAAATATTCATTCTCGCTATGTTTAATAATCGCCTCGTCCGATTAAAATTATAATCATACTTGCACGTGCGTGTGTGTATTTTAATCATATTTAAATATTGACAATCATCGTCGCGATTCCCGCATATTTAGTGATATTGTGACTCTCGATTTTGTAATTAATTTAGTCGTAGTAAATACACCCGGTATAGAGACACCCGGTGAAAAAAAAACCAATAGAACCTTGAACGTTGTTCCACAGCATCGTCCGAGCAGCGCAGCTGGTACGTATATAAAAATATAGATATTTTATCTTACCCGTGATGGTCTCAGCGTCGCGGGTATTAACGGGGATGACTAGCTTGCTCTTCGGTGACCGTAATGCTTGGAGAGTCGCCCTGGCCGAGGGTGAAACCTTTAAGGAGGCGGCGGATGGTCGGATGGGGCCTTCGGGCCGCTTTGGACCCGCATCTTCCACGGTGGCCAGCTTGGACGCTGTGGCGACGAATGATATCGCCTCGCTTTCCTGAAATCAGATATTCACCTACGTTTTAATTAATGTAACAAGGGCATTTTCGAAAATTCGAGAGATCACTTTTATGCTATTTTAATCAATGTTTTTATTGTAAAGTGCTTTTAAGAATTAGAGATGTTCCTATATGTTTTTTATTTTTTTTTTTTACTACACTCATAAATTCAAGAAATAAACTTTTCAATAATTCGATATGAGAATTTCACAGCTGAATTGTATTATAAATGTATATGATTTCGTAGAGCTGATATCATAGAGCTAAAATAAATGCGAAACGTTTTTGCAGGGAAGATTTCACAATTACCGAACCCCTAAATACACGTGGGGAGACACACGTATTTAAACCATCGTGCTTATTTAGGCCGGTAACGCATTGGCGGACGTATTCATTTTGCTCGTCTTCCGGTTCTACCGAGTTTATTTCAGGACACTGACTCGAGACAGCAGACATTTCGACTGTTCCTGCACAATAATATTGTCTACGAAATTCGTAGTCCGTGCCGTTGCGAAGATCGCATTGATTCTATCAATGCGAATGTTCGCAGAAGGAAGATCAATACAGATTTTAAATTCAGGAATTAAATTCGTATATAGTGTAGCAATTTTTAACCGTATAATTCTAGGATCTAAAGTTACAGCCCTATTAAACAAAAAAATTCCAGGATCGATATTATGCACGTAATGGTAGAGAATAAATAATTTAGATGATTATATTTAGAATAGAAGATAAAATAGGCAACTTATTTTGCAGAACTTGATAATTGTCGACTCTACAGCAACTCACTTCTTTTTTCGTCATCATCGATATCATATCAGTGCGAATGATACGGTGATAATTTTAATCGCGATTACACTGTCTATAGTCCCTAACACGTATCAGAATCCAGAATTATACCGTTATTATCGTCAAGAGTTGGGACGTCAGAGAGGACTTTAATTCCACGACGCGTTTCGCTTTAATTTACGTGGAGCATAATCGATAAAGAAAGAAGGTACACGCGGGCGTTACGTAAATTTGCGGAAGATATTTATGAATAAACCTCAACATCTTAGTGAACGCGGCGCAGCTGCGCGATCGGAAGTGGCCCGAGACGCATTTTGCACATTTTTTTTCTACACGTCAGTCAAGGCTCGTTAGTGTTTCGCCGTCAATTTCACTTTCCGATCTTCTTGGACGGCTCTAGCTTCGCAACGCAACGTGACGCAAGGTTATGAGAAACAATGTTATATTCTACGCTAGGAAAAACGCGAAAATGTCATAAGATAATCGATCTGTGCTCGACTCTACCTTCAACTGATGATTTCCTAGAAGATTGGCACGGGCAATTGCAAATATAGTTAGTCCAGTCAATCATATGACATGTAAAAATAAAGCAGGAAATATTTCAAGAAAATTAAATTAAGAAGCACACTTTGCATATAAATATATAAATACATGCGAAACTCAATAATTCCGACGACGCGACTAAAAGAAAGGGAATTTCGAAAAGTAAAAGAAGACCGTGAAAAAATTGATATATTCGACAGCAAATTATTTTAAGCACTTTAATATCTATATTTTCGAGAGATGGAACGAATACTAAAAATTGTGAGGCAAATTACTCAAGGCAAATTCCCTAAGTAATGGCAAATAAAATATTTAAAAATCTTTAGTTTAACTTCGCGAAATAATCACGCAGCTGAATTTTTTATCTACCTCAAATGTATACCATTGATTACTTGAACATTGATCGCGCACTGTATTTCGTATACTCTGACAATGAGTTTACGATCAATATCGCATTATTAAATTCAGACGCAAATTAAGAAAGTCTCTTTAAGATGCAATTTTATAAAGTGGAAGAAACTCCACTTATTGTTTATCATTTCGATAGACATAAACATTCATAATCCATTGAGCAAAGAAACTGCGTTTTTCCAAATATAATTTAACACAAATTATCTGAAAAGTCAAAAAAATCAAATAGAATATTTCATATTTTACAAAATTAAAACATTTCTTGATGTGACGTAAACTGCGACTTACTGATGCAACCGGTGGCAATAACATATGTACATACATATACATATATACACGCGCACATACACATAGATATTTAAAATATTTGATTAAAATACCTTACTTTACGCTCTAGTTATTTTACTATCCCCTAACTTTTAATTTAAATTTTCTTTTTCACAACTTACAAACGGGGTCGAAAAAACGGGAGACAGCGGCTGCTCCGTGGGTCGATAAACCATCATCGCCATCGTGCGCATATTTCGCGTGGATGATCCATCGTAAGGGAAATCCGACGCGTCTCGCTCGCATCCGTTGTTACCCTGAGTTTTGTCACGGTTCTTGAAGACGCGCCGCGCCGAATTACGACGCGCCTCCGCGAATGCAATTCCGCGCAGCAACATACTTATATTCGCGTGCGATCCGCAAAGTGTCAATGAGACGGAAAAGCGCTTTATCACGAGACTCGCGAAGCAAATAAAGAAGCGGCGATCTCTCCGTCAACCTTCGGCGATAAAGAGCGGCGGCTGCTCGACTGCGCGCGAAGCTTTCAATTTGCACAGCTGATGTAATTTAAACATTAAAACGTGGCGCGCGCGAGACACGAATCGAGACGGACGAGCCGTATATGAAGGTAAGCCTGCAATTTTCGAGACTGCAATTTGCGACGCGCGAAATAATACAGCGCGAAAATCCGCGAAACGTTATTTGGCGAATTCGATCCTTCGCTCGGATAACTTGATTAGGCTCTGCAGGATGTGCGTCGAGCCAATATGTAAAAGCAATATAAATGTTTTTTCTTATCTCTGGCTGATAACACATTGTACAATCTTGCGTAAAATTGCTCTTTCAAAATGCATGCTTTTTTACAAAGCAAGAAAAAAAAGATTTGATGATTATGCGACAAAAAATCATAGTCTAGATTCTATAGATAAGAAAATTTAAAATGCGCTATTAATTTGATTTTGCATCATTTCCATATATAAATTATTTTAAATATTTGTTGTCCAAAAGTTATATAATAGTCATTGTAAATTACTTAAAGATAAAGTGTTATATGTACATTTTTTTAAATTCATTAGAATGTATTGAATGCTATGTTAAACTTGCACGCTAATTACATGCAAATTTATAGGTACACAATTTACAACAACATTAATAGTTACAATAACGAAGAATTGCTCCAACACGTGTCGGAGCCATTTCATCATCATCAACTATTCAAACATCAAAAACATTAATCGTTCGTTAAAGGCAATGTTTAATAATTTTGTATCGGTTGGTACCAGTCATATAGGTTTCTTTTCTCATCAATTATTTATCGATCAGTACATTAAATTACACGTTTATTTTTTGCACAACTGTTGCATCTAATCATGTAATATTAGAACTGCAGGTTTCAAGACGACTTTGTATATATGCTCTTAATTATGCGCATCGTACATTGATATAATACGTACGTTGCATACACTTCCCATCTAGAAAAATATATTCAAGTTTTTTTTCTTGAAGATTACAAGAAACGCATTTATGGAGTACACAATTTTTCTTATTAAGATCAAGTCTAATACTTTGTTACTATGCGAATGTATCTTGTTTAGCTGTACAAGATATGTCTCAAAACCATTGGATATTTTGTAATAACAGATTTTCTGGCCAATTTAGACAATGTTAGCGAAAATATCGATACATTAATAATGTTCAAATTATAAGCAATTTATTCTTTAATTAATTTTAGATAAAATTTAATAGAACTTTAATTTAAAGTTTAATAACAATTTGCTGTTAAAAGAACATCCAAGACATCTTATAACGCGCTGCATGTGGAAAATAATATTTCTAAATAATACATGTAATATATATGTAAAATAGATTAATGCAAAAACATGATGCACAAACATCACAACCAAGATATAAAAAATTAACATTTATATATTATACATATTTATCTATCAACACATATAACTCTACAGTTCCTCTCTGCGTTTTCATTGACAAAATTATTATAAATATATATATATATATATGAACTATTTTTTAATAAAAATAATTTCATAGAATAATTTTTTAATAGAAAATAATTTTTATACAGAAAAAAAATATATATAAATTTTTAATTTCTAGAAGCGCTACTTACACAATTTTGTATATTTGAGGAATGTATATTTCTATTATACAAAACTATTATTATACAAAAATAAGATTTGTTTATAATTTCGCTTCTCTGCTGAAAAAAATACTTTATGTTGTCTAGAATGGATTGTAACTGCAAGAGTATACTTTAGTCACGAGAACGAAGAGCAAACTGACTCAATCGCGATGAAGTGATTCCAAAGAAGTGGACATCTCATTAACAAAGCCGATATTCATTTGGATCGTGTTTTCTGCACGGACTGTACATTGCCAAGTCCGTTCGACTCCTACCAAGATTAAGGTAATGCTCGGTTGATATGATACAATAGTTATGTAGTCTTTTCAGTGCTCTATGGTGCTTCCGCTGGGTGGTCGCGAGATTCATAAAGCTTTAAAGTAATATTTGGAGTCGCAAAAAGGTAGGAGTCTATCATCATCCCTCTTGTCATATAATTCATACTTAATACTGTTTATTCAAACGAAGATAAGATGTGTCATCTTTGGGAAAGCCAGATAAAAATGAAAAAAACTTGCATTTTTGAGAATTAGATTCTTTAATAAGAATATCTTATATGATTTATATTAATCTATTTATTTTTTAACTGATTTTCTAATTTACAAATGTCTTAACAAAATCTGATTAAACCTTAGAAATATTTAAAAAAAATTTATATATATATATATATATATCTTTCTGAAAAATAAATTTAATAGAAATTACTCACCGTAACGTAGTATAAAGTTTTCGGTTTCCACTATGGGAAACCACCACAATCACCAATGAAAGATGTTCTGCAGGTACTGAAATCACATAAAAGAATATATTATTAATCTTGTTGAAATTTTACAATAAACCTTATTCACTACTATTACATCTATTGAGTTTATTTGGTTGCGCACTACTAAAGTGGTCATAAAATTGACAAGTTATGCAATTCTCATAATGATTATGTATATCTGTCTTTTCTAATTATAATCGCTGTCTTATTTCTTTATCAATTACCATTTTCATAGAACTGTCATTCATCGTGTCTCATTCCATGTCCCAATTTCTATACGATAAAAACAAATCTATATTTTTGTGCGAACATAAAATACAAGTCTGTGAGAAGCGATCATTGTAATACAATGTGTTTTGCAAGAATTCTCACAGTAACCATTATCTGTGTTACATAAATCCATGCATCATATAGAAATCGTACATCGTCATCGAATAATGTCTATAATGCAGAAATCTTGCAGAAAAAAAAGTAAAGCAAAGTGCATAACGAAGAGGCGATGGGAGGGGAAAGAAATATGAGACAGAGAGGAAGTCTACGACTGACTGGAGAACTCATCTTTTAGGTTATAACAACGTTTGTCTTGCGGGAAAAAAAAAAAAAAAAAAAAAAAAAAAAAGATACCCGGTGCAAAGTACAAGGTACGCGTTATCACGTTAGATGTACTTCACTGTTCCGGATACACCTGTCCGCCCCTTCCCTTCGCGTATCGCGACACGGGTACACGATAAAAGAGCGATTCGGAGCCGAAGGATTTCGATCAGCTGTTGACGTCGCGAATCGGCGACGCGTGCATCGAACCGCGAGCTACACTCGCGTGCTCCTTTAATACGCGTATCGATTGATATTCCCGCAGTAACTTGACGAGAGAGAGAGAGGGAAAGAGAGCTTAATGACGGAATTAGGTTAAAGGAGCGAAGAAAGCACAGGAACAGGAGAGATATGAGCTTACCGTGCGTCGATGTCTGGCGCACATTATTCTTGTTGCTTGCAAAAACCAGGCGAAGGGCTCGACGCGAGCGCGTGCACCTTTACGTCACTGACATTTCCCGTGTCGGCCGCGACTCTCCCGCGTGTCCGTCGTCTTTCAGCGCGAACGACGCGAAGCTAGTCACGGGATAACGAGAGGTCGGGCGGACGAAAAAGAGAGAGAGAGAGAGAGAGATGTTAAATATATAAGATAAAATCTCGCGTACGGCCTTTACGAGATCCTCTTCACGAGCGCCTCGCGCACGACTCTAGGGTACACTCGGCGTTGTTTGCGCCTTCCCCGTCTGAAGTTGGCCGCCGGCGAGTCGACGCGCCGTACTTAGATATATTATGTGCGCCATGACTCAAAATACACACGGCGTATATCGGTTTTCGCCGAGGATCCCGAGTCAGTCAGTCATGGTGCACGTAGAGTATCTAGATGCAACGCGCTCGATTCGTTTCCGAGTGCCTCGCTTTTAGACGAACGTCGCCGATACCACGCCGGGTGTCAAATTTCGCGGGCGATATAATTGTACGCCCTTCGAGTCTACCTGCGGCTAATCTCACGCCGGAGCAACTCCGACGCTCGCTCGAGAACCGATGGACCTCCCGTCGTATTAAAAATAAATGTTGCATTTGATATCGTTAAATATTATTCAATATTGTGTCTTATATTGATCATCTGACATTTATATTGTTTTTTTTTTTATAACAAGTTACTCGCAATTTTCTATTGTTTGAACAATATTTTACCACCTAAATGAAATGCTCGTAATGTAATAATTTTTTTAATAATCTTTTTCAGTTTTTTTTTTTAATATAAAATATATCGAATTACGTAGGTAAATATTTCCAATATATTTGAAACATTTGTTTCAAATGACATATATGAATAATACAAAAATAAATGTTGCATTTGATATTATTAAATATCATTGAATATTAATCTTACATTGATTACACAATATTTTATATTGTTTTTTTTAACAAGTTACTCGCAATTCTCTATTATTTGAACAAATATCTTATTACTTAAATATAAACACTCATAATGGAATAAATTTTTAAATAATATCCTTTTTAGTTCTTTCTTAATATAAAATATATCAAATTATATATTTAAAAATATTTCCAATATATTTGAAATATTTTTTCAAACGATATATATATATATATATATATATATATATATATATATACCTCCTTGTAAAAATAAAAGATTCTAATATTCAGTCAGTGATAAAAACGCTATTAACGGTTTTTTTTTGCCCTCTAATTATCATTCTAAAATCTCTCGTTAATTTACACGTGTTGCATTAATCATGACAGGATTCGATATAATGGGCTTTTTTATTTCCGCAACGGAGCGGCCATATTTTTGCATCGCACGTATACCAGGAACGGGGCATTCGTAATTACGCAACACGCATGCACATGTGTATACTCACAGTAGGATCGAAGCATTGTTGCATGTGTAGCTTATTATTTCCGAAAATTCGATATCCGTTTCGTCCGCCGTCAGTTTCGACAGTCGGCGCGAGGGGTCGCGATGACGCACGCGCCGTCCGAACTTGGCAACTGGACGCGAACGTCTAGGGACATTTCGTTCCGAGTAGTGACGTAACTCGCCACCCGTGAATACGAATCGGCCATCGACGTCGATATAATCGCCGCACATTTCACTTTCGATACGCTTGACATGTAAAAGAGAATCTTATGCAATTTTTAGGAGAATAGAAAAAAAACAATTAAAGAAACATGTGACTTACGCCAATTTCTTATCGTTATCAACGAATGGATTCTCGTATATCAATAACATCGAAATGCTCCGAGTCAGAGTCTAACCATATTTTTTTTTTCATTCCCGATTCTAAATCGAACAATATATGCGTCTGAAAACAAAATTGAATGCTTGGAATAAATTTGATTGTTTAAAAGAATTAATTAATTAAAAAAAAAAAAAAAAAAAGAGTTATTCGATGATTATTTCCGAGATGAAACTCGAAGAGATATTTTGACATTTGACAATCCTTCAATATATATTCCAAATTTGCATTCTTTGTGATATAAATAATAGACAAAGTTTCGAATTTAGTGTCCGAATAAATGTATATAAAATGTATATAAAAATTTGACAAGTTATAAACGTTGAAATCCTACGCGAAAAAGCGTGATCGAACCGAAGCCTAGAGCATAAAGCTTCAATAATGTAGCGTCCGCGAAAAGGAAGATGTTTTCTCGCGCCTCGCGAGAGGCGCGACCGAGGTTTCCCGCCTAGAGAATTTTTCCGCTTGACAGCTGGCAACCTGGATATCGATTGTCATTATTTATATCGTACGTTTCCTCTTCAGTCATCGATTCACTCTTTTTACATTTTACATTTTTACAGTAATGAGAGAGTTAAGTTTTTCCCACGGGCGTATGGTACTTTAAGTTAGCCCCCACATGTGTGATCATAGGTGTTGTTGAAGGGGAGTCGAGCGTGCGAAGAGAATGACGGATAGCCAGCAGCAGTTTTGCTTGCGGTGGAATAACTTTCAGGCGAACATCACGAGCCAGTTCGAGGCGCTGCGAGATGACGAGGACTTCGTCGACGTTACCTTCGCGTGCGATGGCAGGCGACTCCAGGCGCACAAGGTCGTCCTTTCCGCGTGCAGCCCTTACTTCAAGGAACTGTTCAAGGTTAGAAAACCATTTTCTTCTCGCTCCCCACCTTAGACGTTAAGGTCCCTCTTCTCCCCCCCTCTACCCCTTCGCGTCCTCTGGCAACCGCCCTCCCTCCTCCTCCTCCTCTCGTCGTTCCACCCCTTCTCTTTCTGTCTCTTGCTCGCCCACCTCCCTGTCTGTGCGTGTGTATACGTAACATGCATTTCCTTCGTCTCATCTCGCGCGATGAATAATTCCAAAATTACACAATACCTATTTACGTGACGTTAGGTCTCTCTTATCTTTTTCGTCTTCACGCCTCATTTCAAAGCGAGGCGTATTTGTGTTCGCGATTACGTCACGATGTTGCATGTATTTGTTCACCCTCCCCATGATCGTCGTCGGGCTCTTTCGCGACCGCGTCGAATAAAATTTGTAATTGCTGACCGGCAATTAACGCGCCGACGAAGAGTTGGGGGAAGGTCGATAAATGGACGTCGAGCTCGTCATATATGTTCGTACGATTAATCGTGCTCGCGTTTTACAGAGAAATTATGCAACAGTAATCTACTCCGTTATCTCTCCCGCATCTTTTTCAAGAGAGATACGACGAGTAGGATTATCTAAATGAGATGCATTATTTAATTAGAAGACTTCCATATCGTCAATTTTATGATTCTATAATTATAGATGTCGGGGATCTGAAACATGAGGAAAAAATAGGCATCAAAATTAAATATATGTAAAATTGTATCATTAATATAATTAAATATTAGCACTTTCCACGATATATATATATATATATATATATATATACAGGGTGTCCGGTAACTAACGGACCAATGATTAAGGGCGGATTCTCTGGACAATTTGGAGACGATTTTTCCTTAGCAAAAATGTTGAGAAGTCAATAATTTTCGAGTTATAAGCGATTGAAAAAAATGGGGTTTTTGAAAACTAAACGTTTTGGAGTTATAGGTCTAACATAATTACATTCTTCAGTTAATTTCAGGTAGAGTCTACTATAATAAAATTTTAATTCGAGGCTTAGTTATAAAGATACATAATGACAAATATTGGAAAGTTGTAAAAAATGATGACCTTTTTCGCTGAGGAAAAATTGTTCCCAAATTGACCAAAGAATCCATTTGTAATCGTTGCTCCGTTAGTTACCGGACATCCTGTATATATATATATATATATAGTCGTTTTTGAACCATAAACATTGCAAAATATAGTTAATTTATCAAATTGAAAATTATATATGCAATAATATGTATAACTTGATGTAAAAAATAAATAGAATGGTTTTTTTCTTTTTATAAATATTTTATAATAAATTAATAATTAATAGTAAAATATAATATTACCTTTTATTTTGCAGACAAATCCTTGCAAGCATCCAATAATTTTTATGCGAGATGTTGAGTTTGAACATCTACAGTCGCTATTGGAATTTATGTACGCTGGAGAGGTAAATATCTCGCAGGCAGAATTACCTACATTTCTACGTACAGCTGAATCTCTTCAAATTCGTGGCCTCACCGACTCCCAAAATAATCAGCACAACAACGAAAAGGTTTGACATTAACCTAGTATCTTCCATCTTCGTTATATGTACGCATAATGCTCATGTCATAATGTACAATTTCAATATTTTGCAGCATTTGAAGACAAATAACATCCATGCATCAAATGGCCGTGATCTGATCTCACCGAGCTTTGACGATGAACGCAGTAGAACTCCACCACCTTCGAGCCCTCCACCACTGAAAAGGCTGTGTAAAAAAAGTGATTCACCTCCAACAATTTCTAGTCCAACACCTTCTATACCGCCTTGTGCTACTATTGCACCTCGCTCGCGCCCACTTATCGAGCCTCAAGTTCAGCTCGATTGTTATAAAGATCTCGATATTGTTGAGGTATATATTGTATTATACACTGTCGAATTCTGAAAACATATTTTTGATTATATTGTATAATGTGCTATACATACACAATATAATATTTATAATAGTATATACTTATAATATTTATTTTTAACTTTTTACTTTTAGCCAAAAATAGAATTACCTGAATATGGCAGTGATGACGATTGCTCACCAAAACAAGAAGCTAACACATTACCCAGTGGATTTCTCAGCTTGGATAGTGGTATGGAAGTATTGCCATCCTATCCATCATCTTATCAAGGTAATCATTTTGAAGATTATCTGAAAAAATTAAAATAAAAATATTAATATTTAATAATAAATATTTTATATTGTATAAATGTTTTGTAATAACTGAATTTTTCAGGTTTTTTTCTTTTTACTTTTACATCATAAAAACTAAATCTAAAATTGTGCTAAGATTCACTTTAACATTTTAATTTTAGGAAACCAAAATGTAGAAGGAGGAATGCCAGGTCCATCAGGTCATGGGACTACGGAATTAAATCAGGAGCAGCAAGGTGAGTCAAAATTTATTATTTTTTGGTAGTGCGAGCACCATTACAAACAGCAACAACCTAGCCATTACATCACAAATGTCAAATGTGAAATAGAAACAAGGAAGCAGAAAGGAATCTTGATGGTTTGAAATGGTAAGCTCGTGTGTAGCTCGGTAGGTCTTGGTAGGCGGTAGGACATTTGACACTCGGAGGCTGCAACAGGCCTGAGTCCACAGAGTGCAGTTTGCAGTTAAGCAGCTGTGTTGTATGAACGTTACCGAAATAGCCCGGAAAAAAATATTTAATAATTAACAATTATGTCCTGCGTGTACATATTCAAGAAACAACCCCATCCCAATATGCTTTATAATCTTTTGTTTTCCTGCTTCACATAGTATATTAATATTAATGCATATACACTTACACGTGTATATTAATGCATACATACATACACTAGATTAAATCTAACCCTGAAAAAATATTTAATATAAAAGATAATTGCTTGTTTAAAAAATGTTAACACTCAGTTCAACATAGATTATCTTATTATCATTTGCTTTTTCGTTTACTCATTATAAATGCCATTTTTACATACATGTGACAAGTTTTCAAATCGGCTTGTACATACTGCTTTGAATTAAATATGATATATAAATATGTTTATGTGATGTCATTTATGTTTCATACAATAGAATTGCATTAAGGGGTCTATTATTAATGAATATTTATAAAAAAATTTTATTAATAAAGTTGTTAATGAATGAACAGATAGAAATATTAAATAATATGTCGAATTGTAACAGATTTTAAATCTTATAATATTATTCATTCTTTATGATATATTGTTTTAAGTTATATGTAAAATAATTTAGGATCGTTTCTTCTAACTATGAAGATAATCACAAATCTTATTAATAATTTTTTTCTTTAAATAATTCCTAACTTGAAAATTGTCATATGCTACCTCATATCAAAACAAATGTGTCTACATATCATGCTAACATATCTTCTACTGGAAAAAAAAATACAAAAGAAAAAAATTAAGGAGATGTGCAATGAACATGTAAACAAAAAGATTTTGACTAATTACTAGTTCTCATTATTCATCGATTCATGCTTACCATTGTTTTCAAACTATATGTTTTTTCTTACTGCATTACCATTGTTTTTGTCTGCCAAACATATTTGCATCCTTGCAAGTGATATTCTTGCGGGGGGTACTCTTTTTGTATTGTACCATGCAGGCAGCAAAAATTGGGTAGCGCTAAAAATAGGGTTGTTTGCTGGTTGTTGCTGTCCTGTGGTGGGTGGTATCATTCTGATAATATACGTGGTGTGAAAAGGCGTGGTGCTATGCTGTGGTAACGTGCAATGCTGTGGGCTGCTACCGGTTAGAGCAAGTTGTGTGTGTTGTTGCAGCTGACCTGCGTAAACTGCACTCGCTGGACCCACGCCCCTGTCCTGTGTGCAACCGCATGTACAGTAACTTGTCCAACCTGCGGCAGCACATGCGCCTCATCCACAACCCTCAGAGTGTCACTTGCCCTCTATGTAACAAGCCATTCAAGACCAAGCTGTACCTGAAGCGTCACCTGGTCAGTTTCCACGACCTCAGTGTGGCAGACAGACAACGTCAGGAAGAAATCTACCAGCATCAAGTTAAGGTTCAGGTCCAGGGACAGGGACAGACACAAACGCAGGTTCAGGGAGGAGCTCAGACTCAAACTCAAACACAAGTTCAGGCTCAAACACAAGCTCAGATTCAAGCTCAGACTCAGGTGGATAATAAGGTGCTTTTAGCGGCTCCTGCTCCACCTTCCCGGAATATCACCGAGGAAGGTGGCGCAAGCGGTGGTGGTGGTGGTGGTGGCACCACGGAACCAAAGCTCAGATCGTATCAGGCACAAGCTGGCGATAATGCTTATTCGGTAGAGGTGGCGCAGATTAGTGATTCAAAGCATTTTGGTAGTGGTATGTTGCAATTCGATGCTACGTATCACTAATGTGTACAGGATGTTTATTTATTTTTTTAATCTGTATCGTGCCCAGTTTGTTGTATCATTTTGTGATATAGTAACAAAGTTTTCGAGTTTTTATCTTTATTCTTTAGTGAACTTGTGATTCAATAGGGAACGTATCTTCATAGTTGACCGACAAGTAGCTAGAAATAACGTTACGACACAAGGCTGATTCCGTATTTAATAATTCAGGTCCTGTGCACAGAGGTGTGTATGTGTGTGCACGGGTATAATTTATAATTTTAAATCTTTTTGAGAAACGCGTATGCAATTCTTGTCGCACAAACATGAATGGAGGACAAGAAGTCAAATATGATTGACAGTCGCGCACTTCATTGTTTTCGTCCGTAATAAGACGCCTATACAGATCATTCGAATGATCATTCATACGAAGGTCGACAGTGTATATAGGTTTGGGAGACTAGTTTACATATAAAGTCCCGTGCCTATTCATCGTAAAGATGAACGCTGATGATGGGGGGGGAGAGAACGACTAAAATGCCGATGGTGGAGCAGCCATCCCACCTCGTACTGATAATTCTGCAGCCGGATACTTGTTGTTTTATTTAATGCTATACAGTGTTATACAGACTACAGATATTTACTACAATATTATATTCTTACAGAGGATTATATTTACTTTATTATTGCAACGCAATGTGCAATGACATAGCTCATAACATGATATATTTTTCACATGCATACATTGCAATATACAGCCAATTGACAGCTCAACAGAGTAATAATATTTATTATTAACAGTTATCAACAAACCGTGATCGCAATAATGCAGCAGATTGAATTTAACAATATATAATAAGAAGGCAATGTCTCTGCTGGTTTCTCGTCTATATAAGCACGTCCATATAAGAGTGTTTTTCAAATACTCTATCAGTGATAGATACATATGTTTATGACAATACCGTAAAAATATTTATTTCACTGTTCTTGTGTAAACAGATTATATATAATGCTCAGTATCTAACTACGTTCTTAAACGATATTTATGTAATTTATATATAAGCCGTATATTCTTTTTCTTAGTTGTATATATTTAATTTTTAATTTACCTTTATCGATTTTTAAACAAAGAATTCTTCAAATGTTAAGAGACGCGATAGCATTTTGTGTAAAGTTCATACATGTAGCAACAGTTTTGCAAGAGAAAACTCTACAGTATATTCTTTACAGAAAGTAAAAAGGCAATAATTAATTGTAATTTTTTTTTCTTTTTTTTTTTTTGTATAAGCTTTCAGTAATATCTTTAATATTTTTCAGATACATTTATATCATATATACAGTTCTTTAACTATTTTAGATTTCAATAATTATTCATTTCCGTCATAATTTTGCTTTTATCATCTTTTATTAGTTATGAACATTTTAATTTTAACTTTCTATAAAAGTAAACCAGCATAGATATCTGCCGCACAATTCCATAGCCATAGTACCACACAGTACAACTCAGGATCTTTTATATTATATTTTACAGATGACAATAGTTCCATAAGTACGATTTATAATAACGATTCTAGGAAATGGGGCACAGGGTATGTCCCCTAGAATCGTAACCTTTTAAGTCGTACCATTCATATAAACAGGCTCCTTACCTCACATACAATCAAATTACTAAACAGATGCAGCTATATATTATAATATATTTACATACAATACAATTTACAATAGTACTGGGAAAAGTTGCAACAACTGCAACTATAACACAGATTGCCGATATTATACAAACGATTTTTATTATCTGTTATTACATTGGTAAGCGATTGCAATGTTTTTTTACACGTTAAAAATGTACTACGAATGTACATTCGAGATTTTCGTTTATGATATGAATGGATGCCCAGCACAACTGACAATTAGTACCGAAATAAGATTAGATTATAAATGTTGCATATCATATTATAATATTGTTATACATTTGCCAAGCAGTGTTACATTCATCAACTCTCAGGCTTTGGATCATATACAGAGAATTTCGTTCTGCTTCTCTTATCAATACAGAATAATGTTTCTTTTATAATGGTGCATTTTTCACACATAATACTATATATAATTTAATTCCAGTTGTGAAAATTCAACTACTGAATTTTACAATGCAGTGTCTTGTAGAATAAGAAACGTAGATTTAATACATCCCTTTTTTTTATACACTACTTGATAGAGATAACATTCATATTTGTTAATTTTTTTCTCGTTAGTAACAGTAAGATCTGCAATTAATACTATTTATAAAAGTTTTGCTACTGCTGATATTTACTTTCAGTCATTTTGGTGTCTACTCGATCCTTTGCCTGAGATTCCATATACTGTGTATATCAGAGTGATGTGTTACAGAATGTCACATAATAGTAAGCATCATTTGACAGGCCGGACTTCGCTGGGCATTAAAAACCGGTTACCTAGCTAATATCACAATACAATTCCGAACATTCACTGTTATAATTACGATTATATTACGAATTCACAAATAATGTGTGCAAACATTCCGTAATTCCGCAACACGGAGACATAGCAAAAGAGCAAAAAGAAAGGAGAGAAAGAGAAGAAGAAAAAGAGAAAACGGTGACGGTTTTTATTAATCAATAACAAGCACACTTACAGCTTATAGGAAATAATGCTCGAAAAAAAACCCCGCAATATTTTAGTATTCTTTCTGGGTCTAACAATACACAATTTACTGTAAATTAAATGAGAATAAGAGATATCGACGACATACATCGCGTAGTCGTGAAAAAATAGTATCTCTTTTTGTGATGAAAACTACCAACAGTACTTGCCATTTTTTTCCAAAACAACTCGATGAGTAGGTACAGAAAAGCTCACTGAAAAAAAAAAGTATCTTTTGTCTGCGATAATAAGTTTTAACTTTATCCTATAAACTGCGATTTTAGCATTTGTATTATGCGTTGTTACGACTATTATTGCTATTACGATAACTATTCTATCGCTATTATTATCAATCGAATCCTATTATTATCAATACCACAA